AGTCTCAGTTCTGAAGGGCATGCCCGGATGCTCGGAGTACATCAGGTGGACAGGGAGGTCGAAGTCGTAAGACTCGTAAGATGGGTAGTCCTGGCAGTCGAAGGGAGGTATGCCGGTACCCACAAAGGCGGGAGAGTAGGCCGAAGGATCCGAAGGATCCGAAGGATCCGAAGGTCCGTACCAGGTGGCGGCCTCAAGGGCCTTGGCTGCCATGGCCTTGTCCTCCTCCTGCCGCAGGCGCGCGATCTTCTGCTTCTTCCGGAACTTCGACTCCCCAGGTGGGCAGAGGTGGCAGCGCACGCACGCCGTGCCGTGGTAGCAGCCAAAGGGCTTGTGAAACCAGGCACAAGGCTGACACTTTGGCACACCCAAGTCGTCCTCCATGCCATGCAGCTTGGAGCCTTCCGAGTAAGTCTCCGGATCGAAGGTTATGTCCACGTGCGGCTTTCTGCGCGATGGGCGGGACTGGCTCCTCTGAGACCCGCGAGCTCTGGGAGTTCGAACTGGACCTTGCGAAACCGGACGCGGAGGACTGATGTTCGTCTTGGCCAACTTGCTGCCACAAGCATCCGCATAGCCCACCAGATTCACTGCCATCCTCCTTCTCAGGGGTGACGCGGGGTGGGCCGAGGGGGTGTGGGGGGGGACAATGAATATCAATGAATCAAAGACTCTCCTACTCTCCTTGCCTCTCCGAAGTCCCTGTTTTTGTTGCTCCGGTCTTTGTTTCGTTTGGTCGGTCGTTCTGCCTGATTGTGTTTCCTTGCCCGTCCTTTCCCATCCTTTCCTTTCCTATCCTTTCCTGTCCTCTTGTTCCCCCTCTTCTCTTTCTTTCCCTCCCTCCCTCCCTCCCTCCCTCCTTAACCGGTTCTCTCACCTCCATCTGCGCCTTGCCAGGTCCTACAAACCTCCACCCGCAGTCCTGAGACCTCGAAAGAATCTAGAAGTCCCAAATCCTCTGAAGCTCCGCACCCTCTTGGGTGCTTCGGCTCACAGAGTCTTTCGGGTTTAGGGCTTAGGTCTTCGAGACTACGGCTTAGAAGTTGGGCTTTCGGCCCCCCACCCGCCTGGCAGGAAATGGCACTTCCATAGCGCGAAGCGCGATTCACGGCGTGGAGAGTGGCATCGATGCGCCTCGGACGGGGATTGGCACTTGTGCTTTCCGGGGTTGGAGGTCTAGGATTGTCAAGGCTTTCCCTAAACCCTAAACCCTAAACCATAAACCATAACCCGAAACCCGAAACCCGAAACCCGGTGCTCATGGACTCAGGGATTTTCAGGAAGGCTTTCGGGCTTCGGGGAAATCTCAGGGACAGCAGGACTGGCAAATCTACAGGAGGCTTTTGATGGAAGCAGTTTAGGGTTTAGGGTTTAGGCTTTAGGGTTTAGGGCTTAGGGTTTAGGTGTTTAAGGTTTAGTTGTTTAGGTGTTTAGGTGTTTAGGTGTTTGGGGTTCGGAGTTCGGGGTTTGGGGTTTGGGGTTCGGGGGCCTTGCGCGCGAACGGTTGGGCGCGGAATTCCTCGAGCAACCAAAAGGCCTACAAAGCCACTGAATCCTCAGGTCTCGGGTTCAGGGTTTCGGTGTAGGCCCTAGGGTTCTCTGGGGTTCTTGGCCAGGGTTTACTAAACCCAAAGAGATCCCAAAGAGCCACTCTCGGCAGAAGTTGTTTTCTGTGTCTGCTGCACGCTCCACCGTCGCGGATGGCAAGATGCGTTTCTCTTGCCAAGCACTTCAGCCGCGTGCGCTCAAAGCAGGGACGGCGCAGCCCCGGAACACGGTGGAACACCCATCCAGACCCCGAAATGCCTCACAAAATCTCACACAGTTCCAAAAGGGAGCGCTTGTGCTGCGGCGCCTGCCTCTTCGGGCTGGCCGTCGGCCTCAGAACTCGTCTCCATAGCCCTCCTCTTCGCCTTCGCCTGAGTTGGGGCTCAAGATTTTTGGGGCTTGGGGAGGTTTAGGGTTTAGGGTTTAGGGTTTAGGGTTTAGGGTTTAGGGTTTAGGGTTTAGGGTTTAGGGTTTAGGGTTCAGGGTTCAGGGTTTAGGGTTTAGGGTTTAGGGTTTAGGGTTTAGGGTTTAGGGTTTAGGGCAACCTTAGCACTCCACGCGAACGCGCACGTGTAGAGCGCAGAGCTGTCTCCTACGGACGGACAGAGCCAGAACCGTAGCAAGGAGGCAAAACAGCTCACATCTTCAAGCTGTTCCCCCGTTGCCGAAACGTCTGCGCCCAAACCCTCAACCCGCGACCCTTGAAAACACGAGGCCTTCAGCCGTCTCGATGCCGACCTCTTCGTAGTCCTCGCTATCGCGGGTTTGGATGACCGTGCGTTTACAGTCACTTCTTTGCAAAGCATTCTGCTCGGGCACTGTTGAAAGTCTGGGAGGGGCTATTCACTTAGTCACGCTTCCAGGCACAGCATTCTGTTTGGGCACTGCGAGAAAAGTCGAGGGGCTTTTCACTTATAAGGCATCGTCAAGAACAGCGTTCCAGGGTCTCGCATCCCGAGCCATCCCGGCATCGGATCGCTTACGTTTCGAGGGTTTCGGGGTTGGGGCTTGGTCAGCGAAGCATAGACCGTGAGGCGTGGCTTGCGCTTCCAGCGCTCCTTCTCCAAGGCGGCCAGGTCCTCGCGAGCCTCCGAGAACTCACCCTCCTCCATTCCTGCGAAGACGTGCATGGTGCCGTGTGTGGGGGTTCCCCGCTTGGCAAGGCCTCTGAGCTCCAAAAGAAGAGAACTTGGACCTTCCCTGCTTGCACGTCCGGGAGGTTGGGCTTTGCCAAAACAACCTGTAACCTGCAACGCCCTAAAGACATGTCGGTGCGCCCCCCATAACTTAGCCCCCAAAGCACAGCATCGATGCGCTAGCCCCCGACCTCAAAGACATAATCTTATACCCCCGACCCCCCCGAAGCAACAGCAGGGGGACGACAGTATGGCAGGACCGATATAGAGGATCATGTAGGTACTCGTGGGTGTGTCTTGTCAAACTCCAGATACTTTCGGCGCTACCAGAGCGGGCCGTCCTTCGCCGACGTAGTGGTGCACGAAGGCTCGCTTCCTGGTGCTCCAGGAAGCAAACGACACGAATCGAGCGGAAACTTGAACAAAAAGGCTATGGTCACTATCTTGTGCCAGCAGAGGGGTTCTAGACGGTTCTAGGACTGTAGAGCTTTTGGATCTGTGGGGCCTGTAGGGCTGGCTTTACGTGACGTAGAGGCAGAGGGGGCCTGCAAAGCATGGGACAAGTGGCGTCAGCTTTGGGCCTAGACAAACCCAGACTCCGGATCTTTCCGGTGCAATCCGGGAGCTCGACAGCAACTAGACGCCCCGAACTTCAAAAACTCAACCGCCAAAAATGGAAGGATCCAAGGCGCGAGTACATGAGGTCAAACTTGTGGTCGATGCGCGAGAAGACTTCCTTCCGCTTACGGCGTGCGCCAGGGTTGGCGACTGAACCCGTGAAAAGAGTCCCCCCCAATCCACTGCAAATGACACACAAAGCCCAATCGCCGAGCTGCAGCGATGGCCGTGGAGTTGGAGATCATGCAGCACGCACGCATGACCTTCGCCAAGTCGCCGCCTCACGGGCCGCAAATTCCGTCTCAAACACGGATTCTACACTCTGGGGGCTGAGGGATTAGGCGATTTAGGCACCTTATAAACACCAAGTGGGGTATGATGATATGATGTACCATCACGGCCTGGGACCACGGTGGGCGGCTGGTAGTTGATGCCGCACTTGAAGCCCGTGGGGCACCAGTCCTGTGCTCAAAGCCTAGACTATAGGTCCTAAACCTGAACCTTCCACTGCAGTTTCAGGGCTTTACAGTCAGGGTATGTCAGCATTGCGGGTTTTGGGGCTTGACGTGGTCAGTCGAGGCTGCGATTGCTCTTTCAGGCGTGGCTGGCAACGAAACTTAACGCGACTTTCCGACGGCAACCCAGGATCCACGAACTGGATGGTGCGCTTGGTCTTGATCGTGGCCACGGCCGCATTCACGTCCTTGGGCACAACGTCGCCGCCTCGGCAACAGGAGCCCATCAAGAATCGACGTTAATCTTGAACGCCTTCCCCTAAACCCTGAACCCTAAACCCCAAACCAGTGCTGTGTGGCGTTCTTCTGGGCTCCCAGGCGGTACATCATGCAGCAGGCCATGTACTTGCCGTGACGAGGATCGCACCTCGCATGAAGTACTATTAGATTCTGCGACGAGCCATTAGATGATTATTGGCTTATTGTTGTTCTTGACTACGACTCTGTTTATTGCTATTGTTACTTGATACTTGGATGCAACCTGTCCTGCAGCGGGGGTCAGCGGCAACGTAAAGCAGGAAGCACAGATGCGGGTGATGCTGATTGGGTGCAAGTGCCCACAATGGAAGAACGTGGAAGAACAGCATGAACCTGTGAGATCGAGCTAACAGCCGTAGTGTGTACGGCCCATCCCTCTTGAGGCCGGCGCTTCACCATCATGGAAGCCGGCTCGAAGACGGACATCGTGATCTCAGCCACGGACAGCTGCTCATGGTAGGCCTTCTCGGCGGAGATGACCGGAGCGTAGGACGTGAGCATGAAGTGGATGCGCGGGTACGGCACCAGGTTGGTCTGGAACTCCGTGATGTCCACATTCAAGGCTCCATCGAAGCGAAGGCTGGCCGTGAGGGAGCTGATGATCTGGGCAATGAGACGGTTCAGGTTGGTGTAGGTCGGCCGCTCAATGTCCAGGTTCCTGCGGAACACCGAGCCAGGCTCTCAAAAGCAAAGACACCCGGACCCGCCCAACCCAAATCAATGACAAGGATGGACAAGGCTCCTGCGGCAAATGTCGTACAGCGCCTCGTTGTCGTACATGATCGTCACGTCCGTGTGCTCCAACAGAGAGTGGACGCACAGCACCTTGGTTAAAGTTGCTACTGGTAACGCCATGCACAAATACACCAGGCCACTAGGCGGCTTTGTCACTAAGCCATAAACGCCAGAATCATGAATAAGGACCCAGGCGCAGTGTTGTAAGGCTCGACAACGGCCGTGGCAACCTGAGGGCAGCACCAGACCGTGAAGGAGATCTTGCTCTTCTTCCCGTAGTCCACGGAAAGGCGCCTCGGTGGAACAACGAAACCCTGAACCATGGTAGAGGAGAAGACTCGGCATCTTGCTCTGAACGCAGGGCAAGGCGCTCGAGCATGAGGCAGCCCAAGCCCGAACCGGTTCCACCTCCACAAGCCTGTGCTGATTTTGGAAGAAGCTCCACAAAGCTTGATCAAAATGCCACAACCCGAAGAACTTGCTGAAGCTCATTCAACCCTCTTCCACCAAAAGCTTCGAAAACACTTCGTCAACGGCCCAGGAGCATTGTAGACGCAGAAGCCCTGCAAGCCGGTGCCTCAAGTGGACTGGGCACTGCGAATGCTCATGAACTGCCAGGACCGTGCGCTTGTGCCCTGGCATTCTGGGTCTGCTGTTGCAGCCGTTCTTTTCTGACTCGACATCGTTCCATATCTGGATCGACAGCCCAGCGGCAGTTGTCGGCCAGCTTGCGGATCCTGCCGCCAGGACTCTTCAGGGGAGCGACGATTACACTTAAAGAGAAAGGAGTCAAAGGAAACATGTCGCACCTAGATTCGTACAAACAATGTGTTTCCTTTTTTCAGAAGATTTGAATGTGCCGACATGTCGACACGCTCACATTGCGACGTTTGCATACGACAACCAGAAGTAGTTCCCACCAAGACGACATGCCCGACTCCTGTCAAGCACCAAATCCACGATCTCTTTCCCGATCGTGTAATGTCCGCGGGCGAAGTTGTTCGCCTTCGCATCCACCCCTCACACTCAAACAACAATTGGTTCGGAATTCAAGAACGCCGCGCGCCGGATCGCTCTTTTGATGGCTAAGTGGCAGCATCCTCCTTGCCAGAGATCAGCTGCTCCGGGTGGAAGAGCTGGCGGTAAGTTCCGGTGCGCACTTCGTCCACGACCGTCGGCTCGAGGTCCTTACGCATTATTGTTTTACTGTAAATGCGCCATCCTGGCTGGTGGGATAGACGCAAAAGCCATCACGGCTCGGCCAGAGAGGCCGTAGTGGTATGGCAGTTAGAGGCTCTAACTGGAGTGCAGTGAGCTTTGGAAGCTAAAAGGACCGAAAGGGGAGGAAGTCCTTTCGTTTTCTTCTTCTTCTTCTTCTTATTCTTCTTCTTTTTCTTCTTCTTCTCAAGGCTTGCTAGCAACGTTGGAGGTTAGTGAGGCGAGTAAGGCAGAGAGGTACGTGCACATGAGAGCCCCTAACACTGCTTCTCGGATATGCATCTCCACTAAGATGCGGAAAAATACAGGAAGCATAGCTACCATAGCTCCAGATGCATCAGTCTGAGCGTGGATTCTCACCCCCACACTAAGAAGTGCAAACGATGGTTGGACCATGGCTCGATTGTCAGCATTTCAAGGCAACTGCCTCAACTGATCACTCGCGAAAGCTTAAGCACACAGCGCAGCATGTGCGAAGTGCCTGAGGAGCCCCCACACTCACACAGACAGACACTCTTCCGATGGGCGCTTTGGCGGAACGGAGAAAGCGTAGCGAGGACCTTTCCACCAAACTCGAATACCCCGCAGGTCGCCCTGGGTTTTGGGCTCGGGGACGTTACCAAAGCCACCATACCATCAGAACCAGGGAATCTGCCAGGAAAAAGCTAAGTCCCGGTCCACCATGACGCAGCGGGGGACGTGCTTCCCCGCACCAGTCTCGGAAAAGAAGGTGTTAAACGCGTCCTCACAGGGTCGTTGCTGGACAGCCAGGTCTGGGCTTTTGAACCGCCAGCAAACCCTAAACGGCCCCAAACAGTTCAAACCAAACACTGCAAGTACAACCAAGAGACATCCCCGCCGCCGATGGTCTTGTCCTTAAACCCAGGTCGAGAGGCCCAACTTGATCCGAACAAAGGCTCAGGGCTTAGGGGTCTTCGGGGAAAATTCCGGGTGTTTCTCAGTGAGAGGTTTAGGGTCGCTGTTCAGTCCCCTCAGAAACAGAAACAGAAACAGAAACAGAAACAGAAAGCCTTAAGTGCCCGTGTAAGGGCAGGCGTCGCTGGGCATCTGGCCATCCGGCTGAATGCCATGCTCGAGGCAGAAGAGCTCCCAACAGGCGTTTCCGATCTGCACGCCGCCCTGCTGACGCTGGACAGGGTTGTTGGATGTCAGGGTGTGTGTGGTGATGCGTGGTGTGTAGGTTTTAAGGCTTTCAGGACTTGAGTTCGAGAGATGGGAGTTCGAGGTCTAGCGAACGGGTTCAAAGTTCAAAGCATGGCTCGCGCGCCTGGCCGATGTGGATGCAGATGGCCTCACGCATGGCTGCGAAGCGAAGGGCTTGAAGTCGCGAAAGAGTTGATCGCAAAGAGCACCAACGGAAGGTGACTGGGGCACACCGCGCGATGTAGCGGCCTTGATCACCAATCCTTTGAGCCGAGATGACGGCGATTCTCTGGTGAAGCGGAGGTCCTCGAACCCGATACTCCCCAAGCCGAAACGCTCAAGCGTCCTTCGACCGTCTTGAACCCGGAAGCGCCCCAAAGCGCGGCACCCCCCCCCCCCCTCCCCTCTCCCCATTTCTGTCTCTCTGCTCACCTGCTGCACGCTCCACCGTCGCGGATGGCAAGATGCGTTTCTCTTGCCAAGCACTTCAGCCGCGTGTGCTCAAAGCAGGGACGGCGCTGCCCCGGAACCCGGCACACGATGGAACACCCATCCAGACCCCGAAATGCCTCACCAAATCTTACTCGCAAGTTTCCGGAGCGCTTGTGCCTTGGCACCTGCCTCTTCGGGCTGGCCGTCGGCCTCAGAACTCGTCGCCGTAGCCCTCCTCTTCGCCTTCGCCTGAAGATTTTAGGGCTTGAGCAGTCGTCTACCGCAACCTCAACCCTCCACGCGAACACTCACGCGAACGCTCACGCGTAGAGCGCAGAGCTGTCTCCTATGGACGGACAGATCCAGAACTGGTAGCCAGGAGGCCAAGCAGCTCACATCTTCAAGCTGTTCCCGCCAGGCACTCTTCGCCAAAACGTCTGCGCCCGAACCAGCAACCCGCGACCCTCGAAAACACGAGGCCTTCAGCCGTCTCGATGCCGACCTCTTCGTAGTCCTCGCTGTTGCGGGTTCAAATTGGGTTGACTTTGGATGCACGATGACGCACGTGAGTTTGGATGCACCCGCGTTTAACTTCACTTCCAGGCACAGCATTCTGCTCGGGGACTGTTAAAAGTCGAGGGGGCTTCTCACTTAGGCGTCGTCAAGAACTGCATTCCATCCCGGCATCGGATCGCTTACGTTTCGAGGGTTTCGGGGTTGGGGCTTGGTCAGCGAAGCATAGACCGTGAGGCGTGGCTTGCGCTTCCAGCGCTCCTTCTCCAAGGCGGCCAGGTCCTCGCGAGCCTCCGAGAACTCACCCTCCTCCATTCCTGCGAAGACGTGCATGGTGCCGTGTGTGGGGGTTCCCTGCTTGGCAGGGCCTCTGAGCTCCAAAAGAAGAGAACTTGGGCCTTCCCTGCTTGCACGTCCGGGAGGTTGGGCTTTGCCAAAGCAACCTGTAGCCTGCAACGCCCTAAAGACATGTCGGTGCGCCCCCCATAGCTTAGCCCCCAAAGCACAGCATCGACGCGCTAGCCCCCTGACCTCAAAGACATAATCTTATACCCCCGACCCCCCCGAATCAACAGCAGGGGGACGACAGTATGGTAGGACCGATATGGAGGATCATGGTACTCGTGGGTGTGTCTTGTCAACTCCAGATACTTTCGGAGCTACCAGAGCGGGCCGTCCTTCGCCGACGTAGTGGTGCACGAAGGCTCGCTTCCTAGTGCTCCAGGAAGCAAACGACACGAACCGAGCGGAAACTTTAACAGAAAGGCTATAGTCACTATCTTGTGCCAGCAGAGGGGTTCTAGACGGTTCTAGGACTGTAGAGCTTTTAGATCTGTGGGGCCTGTAGGGCTGGCCTTGGGACGTAGAGGCAGAGGGGGCCTGCAAAGCATGGGACAAGTGTCGTCAGCTTTGGGCCTAGACAAACCCAAACTCCGGATCTTTCCGGTGCAATCCGGGAGCTCGACGTATCAGCAACTAAACGCCCCGGACTTCAAAAACTCAACCGCCAAAAATGGAAGGATCCAAGGCGCGAGTACATGAGGTCAAACTTGTGGTCGATGCGCGAGAAGACTTCCTTCCGCTTACGGTGTGCGCCAGGGTTGGCGACTGAACTCGTGAAAAGAGTCCCCCCCCCAATCCACTACAAATGACACACAAAGCCCAATCGCCGAGCTGCAGCGATGGCCGTGGAGTTGGAGATCATGCAGCACGCACGCATGACCTTCGCCAAGTCGCCGCCTCACGGGCCGCAAATTCCGTCTCAAACACGGATTCTACACTCTGGGGGCTGAGGGATTAGGCGATTTAGGCACCTTATAAACACCAAGTGGGGTATGATGATATGATGTACCATCACGGCCTGGGACCACGGTGGGCGGCTGGTAGTTGATGCCGCACTTGAAGCCCGTGGGGCACCAGTCCTGTGCTCAAAGCCTAGACTATGGGTCCTAAACCTGAACCTTCCACTGCAGTTTCAGGGCTTTACAGTCAGGGTATGTCAGCATTGCGGGTTTTGGGGCTTGACGTGGTCAGTCCAGACTGCGATTGCTCTTTCAGGCGTGGCTGGCAACGAAACTTAACACGACTTTCCGACGGCAACCCAGGATCCACGAACTGGATGGTGCGCTTGGTCTTGATCGTGGCGACGGCCGCATTCACGTCCTTGGGCACAACGTCGCCGCCTCGGCAACAGGAGCCCATCAAGAATCGACGTTAATCTTGAACGCCTTCCCCTAAACCCTGAACCCTAAACCCCAAACCAGTGCTGTGTGGCGTTCTTCTGGGCTCCCAGGCGGTACATCATGCAGCAGGCCATGTACTTGCCGTGACGAGGATCGCACCTCGCATGAAGTACTATTAGATTCTGCGACGAGCCATTAGATGATTATTGGCTTATTGTTGTTCTTGACTACGACTCTGTTTATTGCTATTGTTACTTGATACTTGGATGCAACCTGTCCTGCAGCGGGGGTCAGAGGCAACGTAAAGCAGGAAGCACAGATGCGGGTGATGCTGATTGGGTGCAAGTGCCCACAATGGAAGAACATGGAAGAACAGCATGAACCTGTGAGATCGAGCTAACAGCCATAGTGTGTACGGCCCATCCCTATTGAGGCCGGCGCTTCACCATCATGGAAGCCGGCTCGAACACGGACATCGTGATCTCAGCCACCGACAGCTGCTCATGGTAGGCCTTCTCGGCGGAGATGACCGGAGCGTAGGACGTGAGCATGAAGTGGATGCGCGGGTACGGCACCAGGTTGGTCTGGAACTCCGTGATGTCCACGTTCAAGGCTCCATCGAAGCGAAGGCTGGCCGTGAGGGAGCTGATGATCTGGGCGATGAGACGGTTCAGGTTGGTGTAGGTCGGCCGCTCAATGTCCAGGTTCCTGCGGAACACCGAGCCAGGCTCTCAAAAGCACAGACACCCGGACCCGCCCAACCCAAATCAATGACAAGGATGGACAAGGCTCCTGCGGCAAATGTCGTACAGCGCCTCGTTGTCGTACATGATCGTCACGTCCGTGTGCTCCAACAGAGAGTGGACGCACAGCACCTTAGTTAAAGTTGCTACTGGTAACGCCATGCACAAATACACCAGGCCACTAGGCGGCTTTGTCACTAAGCCATAAACGCCAAAAAGCTGAATAAGGACCCAGGCGCAGTGTTGTAGGGCTCGACAACGGCCGTGGCAACCTGAGGGCAGCACCAGACCGTGAAGGAGATCTTGCTCTTCTTCCCATAGTCCACGGAAAGGCGCCTCGGTGGAACAACGAAACCCTGAACCATGGTAGAGGAGAAAAGACTCGGCATCTTGCTCTGAAGGCAGGGCAAGGCGCTCGAGCATGAGGCAGCCCAAGCCCGAACCGGTTCCACCTCCACAAGCCTGTGCTGATTTTGGAAGAAGCTCCACAAAAGCTTGATCAAAATGCCACAACCCGAAGAACTTGCTGAAGCTCATTCAACCCTCTTCCACCAAAAGCTTCGAAAACACTTCGTCAACGGCCCAGGAGCATTGTAGACGCAGAAGCCCTGCAAGCCGGTGCCTCAAGTGGACGGGGCACTGCGAATGCTCATGAACTGCCAGGACCGTGCGCTTGTGCCCTGGCATTCTGGGTCTGCTGTTGCAGCCGTTCTTTTCTGACTCGACATCGTTCCATATCTGGATCGACAGCCCAGCGGCAGTTGTCGGCCAGCTTGCGGATCCTGCCGCCAGGACTCTTCAGGGGAGCGACGTTTACACTTAAAGAGAAAGGAGTCAAAGGAAACATGTCGCACCTAGATTCGTACAAACAATGTGTTTCCTTTTTTCAGAAGAATTGAATGTGCCGACATGTCGACACGCTCACATTACGACGTTTGCATACGACAACCAGAAGTAGTTCCAACCAAGAATGCAAGATGCCCGACTCCTGTCAAGCACCAAATCCACGATCTCTTTCCCGATCGTGTAATGTCCGCGGGCGAAGTTGTTCGCCTTCGCATCCACCCCTCACACTCAAACAACAATTTGTTCGGAATTCAAGAACGCCGCGCGCCGGATCGCTCTTTTGAAGGCTAAGTGGCAGCATCCTCCTTGCCAGAGATCAGCTGCTCCGGGTGGAAGAGCTGGCGGTAAGTTCCCGTGCGCACTTCGTCCACGACCGTCGGCTCGAGGTCCTTACGCATAATATTATTTTACTGTAAATGCGCCATCCTGGCTGGTGGGATAGACGCAAAAGTCACTGCTCGGCCAGAGAGGCCGTAGTGGTATGGCAGTTAGAGGCTCTAACTGGAGTGCAGTGAGCTTTGGAAGCTAAAAGGACCGAAAGGGGAGGAAGTTCTTTCGTTTTCTTCTTCTTCTTCTTCTTCTTCTTCTTCTTCTTCTTCTTCTTATTCTTCTTCTTCTTTTTCTTCTTCTCAAGGCTTGCTAGCAACGTTGGAGGTTAGTGAGGCGAGTAAGGCAGAGAGGTACGTGCACATGAGAGCCCCTAACACTGCTTCTCGGATATGCATCTCCACTAAGATGCGGAAAAAACACAGGAAGCACAGCTATCATAGCTCCAGATGCATCAGTCTCAGCGTGGATGCTCGCCCCCTCACTAAGAAGTGCAAACGATGGTTGGACCATGGCTCGATTGTCAGCATTTCAAGGCAGCTGCCCCAACTGATCACTCGCGAAAGCTTAAGTACACAGCACAGCATGTGCGAAGTGCCTGAGGAGCCCCCACACACACACACAGACAGACACTCTTCCGATGGGCGCTTTGGCGGAACGGAGAAAGCGAGGCCCTTTCCACCAAACTCGAATACCCCGCAGGTCGCCCTGGGTTTTGGGCTCGGGGACGTTACCAAAGCCACCATACCATCAGAACCAGGGAATCTGCCAGGAAAAAGCTAAGTCCCGGTCCACCATGACGCAGCGGGGGACGTGCTTCCCCGCACCAGTCTCGGAAAAGAAGGTGTTAAACGCGTCCTCACAGGGTCGTTGCTGGACAGCCAGGTCGGGGCTTTTGAACCGCCAGCAAACCCTAAACGGCCCCAAACAGTTCAAACCAAACACTGCCAGTACAACCAAGAGACATCCCCGCCGCCGATGGTCTTGTCCTTAAACCCAGGTCGAGAGGCCCAACTTGATCCGAACAAAGGCTCAGGGCTTAGGGGTCTTCGGGTCGCTGTTCAGTCCCTCAGAAACAGAAACAGAAACAGAAACAGAAAGCCTTAAGTGCCCGTGTAAGGGCAGGCGTCGCTGGGCATCTGGCCATCCGGCTGAATGCCATGCTCGAGGCAGAAGAGCTCCCAACAGGCGTTTCCGATCTGCACGCCGCCCTGCTGACGCTGGACAGGGTTGTTGGATGTCAGGGTGTGTGTGGTGATGCGTGGTGTGTAGGTTTTAAGGCTTTCAGGACTTGAGTTCGAGAGATGGGAGTTCGAGGTCTAGCGAACGGGTTCAAAGTTCAAAGCATGGCTCGCGCGCCTGGCCGATGTGGATGCAGATGGCCTCACGCATGGCTGCGAAGCGAAGGGCTTGAAGTCGCGAAAGAGTTGATCGCAAAGAGCACCAACGGAAGGTGACTGGGGCACACCGCGCGATGTAGCGGCCTTGATCACCAATCCTTTGAGCCGAGATGACGGCGATTCTCTGGTGAAGCGGAGGTCCTCGAACCCGATACTCCCCAAGCCGAAACGCTCAAGCGTCCTTCGACCGTCTTGAACCCGGAAGCGCCCCAAAGCGCGGCACCCCCCCCCCCCCTCCCCTCTCCCCATTTCTGTCTCTCTGCTCACCTGCTGCACGCTCCACCGTCGCGGATGGCAAGATGCGTTTCTCTTGCCAAGCACTTCAGCCGCGTGTGCTCAAAGCAGGGACGGCGCAGCCCCGGAACCCGGCACACGATGGAACACCCATCCAGACCCCGAAATGCCTCACCAAATCTTACTCGTAAGTTTCCGGAGCGCTTGTGCCGTGGCACCTGCCTCTTCGGGCTGGCCGTCGGCCTCAGAACTCGTCGCCGTAGCCCTCCTCTTCGCCTTCGCCTGAAGATTTTAGGGCTTGAGCAGTCGTCTACCGCAACCTCAACCCTCCACGCGAACACTCACGCGAACGCTCACGCGTAGAGCGCAGAGCTGTCTCCTATGGACGGACAGATCCAGAACTGGTAGCCAGGAGGCCAAGCAGCTCACATCTTCAAGCTGTTCCCGCCAGGCACTCTTCGCCAAAACGTCTGCGCCCGAACCAGCAACCCGCGACCCTCGAAAACACGAGGCCTTCAGCCGTCTCGATGCCGACCTCTTCGTAGTCCTCGCTGTTGCGGGTTCAAATTGGGTTGACTTTGGATGCACGATGACGCACGTGAGTTTGGATGCACCCGCGTTTAACTTCACTTCCAGGCACAGCATTCTGCTCGGGGACTGTTAAAAGTCGAGGGGGCTTCTCACTTAGGCGTCGTCAAGAACTGCATTCCATCCCGGCATCGGATCGCTTACGTTTCGAGGGTTTCGGGGTTGGGGCTTGGTCAGCGAAGCATAGACCGTGAGGCGTGGCTTGCGCTTCCAGCGCTCCTTCTCCAAGGCGGCCAGGTCCTCGCGAGCCTCCGAGAACTCACCCTCCTCCATTCCTGCGAAGACGTGCATGGTGCCGTGTGTGGGGGTTCCCTGCTTGGCAGGGCCTCTGAGCTCCAAAAGAAGAGAACTTGGGCCTTCCCTGCTTGCACGTCCGGGAGGTTGGGCTTTGCCAAAGCAACCTGTAGCCTGCAACGCCCTAAAGACATGTCGGTGCGCCCCCCATAGCTTAGCCCCCAAAGCACAGCATCGACGCGCTAGCCCCCTGACCTCAAAGACATAATCTTATACCCCCGACCCCCCCGAATCAACAGCAGGGGGACGACAGTATGGTAGGACCGATATGGAGGATCATGGTACTCGTGGGTGTGTCTTGTCAACTCCAGATACTTTCGGAGCTACCAGAGCGGGCCGTCCTTCGCCGACGTAGTGGTGCACGAAGGCTCGCTTCCTAGTGCTCCAGGAAGCAAACGACACGAACCGAGCGGAAACTTTAACAGAAAGGCTATAGTCACTATCTTGTGCCAGCAGAGGGGTTCTAGACGGTTCTAGGACTGTAGAGCTTTTAGATCTGTGGGGCCTGTAGGGCTGGCCTTGGGACGTAGAGGCAGAGGGGGCCTGCAAAGCATGGGACAAGTGTCGTCAGCTTTGGGCCTAGACAAACCCAAACTCCGGATCTTTCCGGTGCAATCCGGGAGCTCGACGTATCAGCAACTAAACGCCCCGGACTTCAAAAACTCAACCGCCAAAAATGGAAGGATCCAAGGCGCGAGTACATGAGGTCAAACTTGTGGTCGATGCGCGAGAAGACTTCCTTCCGCTTACGGTGTGCGCCAGGGTTGGCGACTGAACTCGTGAAAAGAGTCCCCCCCCCAATCCACTACAAATGACACACAAAGCCCAATCGCCGAGCTGCAGCGATGGCCGTGGAGTTGGAGATCATGCAGCACGCACGCATGACCTTCGCCAAGTCGCCGCCTCACGGGCCGCAAATTCCGTCTCAAACACGGATTCTACACTCTGGGGGCTGAGGGATTAGGCGATTTAGGCACCTTATAAACACCAAGTGGGGTATGATGATATGATGTACCATCACGGCCTGGGACCACGGTGGGCGGCTGGTAGTTGATGCCGCACTTGAAGCCCGTGGGGCACCAGTCCTGTGCTCAAAGCCTAGACTATGGGTCCTAAACCTGAACCTTCCACTGCAGTTTCAGGGCTTTACAGTCAGGGTATGTCAGCATTGCGGGTTTTGGGGCTTGACGTGGTCAGTCCAGACTGCGATTGCTCTTTCAGGCGTGGCTGGCAACGAAACTTAACACGACTTTCCGACGGCAACCCAGGATCCACGAACTGGATGGTGCGCTTGGTCTTGATCGTGGCGACGGCCGCATTCACGTCCTTGGGCACAACGTCGCCGCCTCGGCAACAGGAGCCCATCAAGAATCGACGTTAATCTTGAACGCCTTCCCCTAAACCCTGAACCCTAAACCCCAAACCAGTGCTGTGTGGCGTTCTTCTGGGCTCCCAGGCGGTACATCATGCAGCAGGCCATGTACTTGCCGTGACGAGGATCGCACCTCGCATGAAGTACTATTAGATTCTGCGACGAGCCATTAGATGATTATTGGCTTATTGTTGTTCTTGACTACGACTCTGTTTATTGCTATTGTTACTTGATACTTGGATGCAACCTGTCCTGCAGCGGGGGTCAGAGGCAACGTAAAGCAGGAAGCACAGATGCGGGTGATGCTGATTGGGTGCAAGTGCCCACAATGGAAGAACATGGAAGAACAGCATGAACCTGTGAGATCGAGCTAACAGCCATAGTGTGTACGGCCCATCCCTATTGAGGCCGGCGCTTCACCATCATGGAAGCCGGCTCGAACACGGACATCGTGATCTCAGCCACCGACAGCTGCTCATGGTAGGCCTTCTCGGCGGAGATGACCGGAGCGTAGGACGTGAGCATGAAGTGGATGCGCGGGTACGGCACCAGGTTGGTCTGGAACTCCGTGATGTCCACGTTCAAGGCTCCATCGAAGCGAAGGCTGGCCGTGAGGGAGCTGATGATCTGGGCGATGAGACGGTTCAGGTTGGTGTAGGTCGGCCGCTCAATGTCCAGGTTCCTGCGGAACACCGAGCCAGGCTCTCAAAAGCACAGACACCCGGACCCGCCCAACCCAAATCAATGACAAGGATGGACAAGGCTCCTGCGGCAAATGTCGTACAGCGCCTCGTTGTCGTACATGATCGTCACGTCCGTGTGCTCCAACAGAGAGTGGACGCACAGCACCTTAGTTAAAGTTGCTACTGGTAACGCCATGCACAAATACACCAGGCCACTAGGCGGCTTTGTCACTAAGCCATAAACGCCAAAAAGCTGAATAAGGACCCAGGCGCAGTGTTGTAGGGCTCGACAACGGCCGTGGCAACCTGAGGGCAGCACCAGACCGTGAAGGAGATCTTGCTCTTCTTCCCGTAGTCCACGGAAAGGCGCCTCGGTGGAACAACGAAACCCTGAACCATGGTAGAGGAGAAAAGACTCGGCATCTTGCTCTGAAGGCAGGGCAAGGCGCTCGAGCATGAGGCAGCCCAAGCCCGAACCGGTTCCACCTCCACAAGCCTGTGCTGATTTTGGAAGAAGCTCCACAAAAGCTTGATCAAAATGCCACAACCCGAAGAACTTGCTGAAGCTCATTCAACCCTCTTCCACCAAAAGCTTCGAAAACACTTCGTCAACGGCCCAGGAGCATTGTAGACGCAGAAGCCCTGCAAGCCGGTGCCTCAAGTGGACGGGGCACTGCGAATGCTCATGAACTGCCAGGACCGTGCGCTTGTGCCCTGGCATTCTGGGTCTGCTGTTGCAGCCGTTCTTTTCTGACTCGACATCGTTCCATATCTGGATCGACAGCCCAGCGGCAGTTGTCGGCCAGCTTGCGGATCCTGCCGCCAGGACTCTTCAGGGGAGCGACGTTTACACTTAAAGAGAAAGGAGTCAAAGGAAACATGTCGCACCTAGATTCGTACAAACAATGTGTTTCCTTTTTTCAGAAGAATTGAATGTGCCGACATGTCGACACGCTCACATTACGACGTTTGCATACGACAACCAGAAGTAGTTCCAACCAAGAATGCAAGATGCCCGACTCCTGTCAAGCACCAAATCCACGATCTCTTTCCCGATCGTGTAATGTCCGCGGGCGAAGTTGTTCGCCTTCGCATCCACCCCTCACACTCAAACAACAATTTGTTCGGAATTCAAGAACGCCGCGCGCCGGATCGCTCTTTTGAAGGCTAAGTGGCAGCATCCTCCTTGCCAGAGATCAGCTGCTCCGGGTGGAAGAGCTGGCGGTAAGTTCCCGTGCGCACTTCGTCCACGACCGTCGGCTCGAGGTCCTTACGCATAATATTATTTTACTGTAAATGCGCCATCCTGGCTGGTGGGATAGACGCAAAAGTCACTGCTCGGCCAGAGAGGCCGTAGTGGTATGGCAGTTAGAGGCTCTAACTGGAGTGCAGTGAGCTTTGGAAGCTAAAAGGACCGAAAGGGGAGGTAGCTCTTTCGTTTTCTTCTTCTTCTTCTTCTTCTTATTCTTCTTCTTCTTTTTCTTCTTCTCAAGGCTTGCTAGCAACGTTGGAGGTTAGTGAGGCGAGTAAGGCAGAGAGGTACGTGCACATGAGAGCCCCTAACACTGCTTCTCGGATATGCATCTCCACTAAGATGCGGAAAATACAGGAAGCATAGCTACCATAGCTCCAGATGCATCAGTCTGAGCGTGGATTCTCACCCCCACACTAAGAAGTGCAAACGATGGTTGGACCATGGCTCGATGGTCAGCATTTCAAGGCAGCTGCCGCAACTGATCACTCGCGAAAGCTTAATGTTGACTTCACATTAGGAATTCCCGCTACAATTCTAAAATCCAGCTGCCGGAACACAATAATATAGCCCCCCACAATTAAAGCCCGGAATATTTTTTTTGTACGGGCGATGTTTTGTAATGACCTTAAACTTATAATTAAGTTTCAGGGTGTTTGAAGAGAATGAGTTTAGAGCTCTGCTAGTACTGGTACTACTACCTAATACTAAAACTAATAGTACTTCCTACCAGGATTTAGGCGAATATAATTAAGGAGGCCCTGGCCAGAGAGATTGATCAACCAGGGGGGGGGGGGGTTTATTAATGCGAAGTCAACATTAAGTACACAGCGCAGCATGTGCGAAGTGCCTGAGGAGCCCCCACACTCACACAGACAGACACTCTTCCGATGGGCGCTTCGGCGGAACGGAGAAAGCGAGGCCCTTTCCACCAAACTCGAATACCCCGCAGGTCGCCCTGGGTTTTGGGCTCGGGGACGTTACCAAAGCCACCATACCATCAGAACCAGGGAATCTGCCAGGAAAAAGCTAAGTCCCGGTCCACCATGACGCAGCGGGGGACGTGCTTCCCCGCACCAGTCTCGGAAAAGAAGGTGTTAAACGCGTCCTCACATATAATTGATTTCACCTTGCCGTGCTCGTCAAAGACACGACAGTGCCCTCGTCAAAGAAATCCACTCACGTGTTGATGGAGATGTCGCTCTCTCGGGGGCGACGCTCCCACCTGGCACTCAATAATGCTTGCCGAACATGAACTACATGTCGCACCACAGCAGCATCGTACTCCTTGTTATTCAGGCGTGGCCACGCAAAGCGGCGTTGCATGAAATCCTCTGGGACAGCCGGCCTTGTAGCAGAAAAGGCCTCGCACGGACATAGCCAGCATTGATGATCCCAACCAGGAACAACGTGACTGAAACACCACTGACATTGATGTGGCAGAGGCTCCTTGCAATGAACAGTGAAGAGGGCATCACTGACAACCCCACCTCCCAGAACAGCTGCAGCATGAAGTCCATGCTCACTTGCAGCTGCGATCGCCGCTTTGAGCCTGTCACTGTCATACTGCACGGCTTGAGCCACTGCTTCAGTAGCATCTCTTCTGTCTTGAGCCAGGAAATTGCTGAAACATTGCTTCCGCCATGATTCTCGCAGCGCGTGATCGTGGAGGTCCTTGTCTCGGCTTTCTCTGTCCCAGAAAATATCTCCAAGTTCTGCGTGGCGCCATCGCCAGGGGCCAACGTCTCTCCAACCTAGCTTTTTGAGCCAGCGATTTACTCGATTGAGCCAAGTGCCAGCGCGCCCTCGGAGGTCCCAGTTTTTTGCACAGCCAACTTTGTACGCCCCCCGCAGCATACTCCATGCTTGGAAACCTGTGGTGAAGGAGCCATCCAACCTGTGTCCGAGGAAGATCATCCGCAGATATTTGGACCAAGTAGTGCTGGCATCACGTAGCCCAGTTCGCATGATTTTGGCAAACTTGCGAAGTTCTTGTCGAGGTTCGCGCCGCCACCATCCCCATTGTGCGACCGCAGCAACCGAAGTGGCCAGGAAGGTCTTCATTCGCTCACGGCCTTGAGAAATGAGAGCAACTCTTCGCGCACGACGATCCGCTTCATCCAAGCGAGCATTGCCCGTGACCAGAGGTATATCTGGATCGGCAGCACCAGCGAAGTCGACACCTAGGATGCGATGGGTATCAACCACGACCGACTCCGGGCAGTCCAATTTGGCGGCGAGCTGCTGCTTGAACTGTTGACGCTTGCCGGCGCCACCCCTTGGGACGATGCGGAGCTTGCTTTCGTTTTCCTTCATGCCGAAGCGGGGAGCTTCTCGTCGCCAGCTGTTGACCAGGGAGACGGTCGCATCCAACGATTTGACTACTGTGTTTCGGTCATCTACATAGGTGACCGTGGTACAGTCATGATCTTGAGCAGTCATGTCTTGTTGGACTTGCTGTAGAGGACCACTGAGCAGCGCCAAGAGTGCAAGAGGGCTGAGTGGATCGCCTTGAGGTAATGACTGGCAAACCTCCTGCGCCTCGGGGTGCACATAGTGCCCAAGGCAAAGCCAACGTACTTGATGACCCCATACCCAATCTAGTGCTGTGGCAAGTTCGGTCGCGATGCCTGCTTTTCTCAAGGCATTGATGCTCAGGTCCGGGCTTGCCCGGTCAAACGCTTCCGAGAAGTCCTGACTGACGATTGCTTCGCCGGCGCTGAAGGCCTCGTCGAGCACCGCAATTGCTGTGTGAACTCCCAAACCAGGAAGGGCTCCGTGGGCACTGCTGGGCTTCCATGAATTCACCCATGTTTTGAACGCGTCCTCACAGGGTCGTTGCTGGACAGCCAGGTCTGGGCTTTTGAACCGCCAGCAAACCCTAAACGGCCCCAAACAGTTCAAACCAAACACTGCAAGTACAACCAAGAGACATCCCCGCCGCCGATGGTCTTGTCCTTAAACCCAGGTCGAGAGGCCCAACTTGATCCGAACAAAGGCTCAGGGCTTAGGGGTCTTCGGGGAAAATTCCGGGTGTTTCTCAGTGAGAGGTTTAGGGTCGCTGTTCAGTCCCCTCAGAAACAGAAACAGAAACAGAAACAGAAACAGAAAGCCTTAAGTGCCCGTGTAAGGGCAGGCGTCGCTGGGCATCTGGCCATCCGGCTGAATGCCATGCTCGAGGCAGAAGAGCTCCCAACAGGCGTTTCCGATCTGCACGCCGCCCTGCTGACGCTGGACAGGGTTGTTGGATGTCAGGGTGTGTGTGGTGATGCGTGGTGTGTAGGTTTTAAGGCTTTCAGGACTTGAGTTCGAGAGATGGGAGTTCGAGGTCTAGCGAACGGGTTCAAAGTTCAAAGCATGGCTCGCGCGCCTGGCCGATGTGGATGCAGATGGCCTCACGCATGGCTGCGAAGCGAAGGGCTTGAAGTCGCGAAAGAGTTGATCGCAAAGAGCACCAACGGAAGGTGACTGGGGCACACCGCGCGATGTAGCGGCCTTGATCACCAATCCTTTGAGCCGAGATGACGGCGATTCTCTGGTGAAGCGGAGGTCCTCGAACCCGATACTCCCCAAGCCGAAACGCTCAAGCGTCCTTCGACCGTCTTGAACCCGGAAGCGCCCCAAAGCGCGGCACCCCCCCCCCCCCTCCCCTCTCCCCATTTCTGTCTCTCTGCTCACCTGCTGCACGCTCCACCGTCGCGGATGGCAAGATGCGTTTCTCTTGCCAAGCACTTCAGCCGCGTGTGCTCAAAGCAGGGACGGCGCTGCCCCGGAACCCGGCACACGATGGAACACCCATCCAGACCCCGAAATGCCTCACCAAATCTTACTCGCAAGTTTCCGGAGCGCTTGTGCCTTGGCACCTGCCTCTTCGGGCTGGCCGTCGGCCTCAGAACTCGTCGCCGTAGCCCTCCTCTTCGCCTTCGCCTGAAGATTTTAGGGCTTGAGCAGTCGTCTACCGCAACCTCAACCCTCCACGCGAACGCTCACGCGAACGCTCACGCGAACGCTCACGCGTAGAGCGCAGAGCTGTCTCCTATGGACGGACAGATCCAGACCTGGTAGCCAGGAGGCCAAGCAGCTCACATCTTCAAGCTGTTCCCGCCAGGCACTCTTCGCCAAAACGTCTGCGCCCGAACCAGCAACCCGCGACCCTTGAAAACACGAGGCCTTCAGCCGTCTCGATGCCGACCTCTTCGTAGTCCTCGCTGTTGCGGGTTCAAGTTGGTTTGACTTTGGATGCACGATGACGCACGTGAGTTTGGATGCACCCGCGTTTAACTTCACTTCCAGGCACAGCATTCTGCTCGGGTACTGCGAAAAGTCGAGGGGGCTTCTCACTTAGGCGTCGTCAAGAACTGCGTTCCATCCCGGCATCGGATCGCTTACGTTTCGAGGGTTTCGGGGTTTGGGGCGCGGTCAACGAAGCGCAGACCGTGAGGCGCGGCTTGCGCTTCCAGCGCTCCTTCTCCAAGGCGGCCAGGTCCTCGCGAGCCTCCGAGAACTCACCCTCCTCCATTCCTGCGAAGACGTGCATGGTGCCGTGTGTGGGGGTTCCCTGCTTGGCAGGGCATCTGAGCTCCAAAAAAAGAGAACTTGGACCTTCCCTGCTTGCACGTCCGGGAGGTTGGGCTTTGCCAAAGCAACCTGTAACCTGCAACGCCCTAAAGACATGTCGGTGCGCCCCCCATAACTTAGCCCCCAAAGCACAGCATCGACGCGCTAGCCCCCGACCTCAAAGACATAATCTTATACCCCCGACCCCCCCGAAGCAACAGCAGGGGGACGACAGTATGGTAGGACCGATGTAGGTACTCGTGGGTGTGTCTTGTCAAACTCCAGATACTTTCGGCGCTACCAGAGCGGGCCGTCCTTCGCCGACGTAGTGGTGCACGAAGGCTCGCTTCCTGGTGCTCCAGGAAGCAAACGACACCAATCGAGCGGAAACTTTAACAAAAAGGCTATGGTCACTATCTTGTGCCAGCAGAGGGGTTCTAGACGGTTCTAGGACTGTAGAGCTTTTGGATCTGTGGGGCCTGTAGGGCTGGCTTTACGTGACGTAGAGGCAGAGGGGGCCTGCAAAGCATGGGACAAGTGGCGTCAGCTTTGGGCCTAGGCAATCCGGGAGCTCGACGTGTCAGCAACTAAACGCCCCGAACTTCAAAAACTCAACCGCCAAAAATGGAAGGACCCAAGGCGCGAGTACATGAGGTCAAACTTGTGGTCGATGCGCGAGAAGACTTCCTTCCGCTTACGGCGTGCGCCAGGGTTGGCGACTGAACTCGTGAAAAAACCCCCCCATCCCCTGCAAATGACACACAAAGCCCAATCGCCGAGCTGCAGCGATGGCCGTGGAGTTGGAGATCATGCAGCACGCACGCATGACCTTCGCCAAGTCGCCGCCTCACGGGCCGCAAATTCCGTCTCAAACACGGATTCTACACTCTGGGGGCTGAGGGATTAGGCGATTTAGGCACCTTATAAACACCAAGTGGGGTATGATGATATGATGTACCATCACGGCCTGGGACCACGGTGGGCGGCTGGTAGTTGATGCCGCACTTGAAGCCCGTGGGGCACCAGTCCTGTGCTCAAAGCCTAGACTATAGGTCCTAAACCTGAACCTTCCACTGCAGTTTCAGGGCTTTACAGTCAGGGTATGTCAGCATTGCGGGTTTTGGGGCTTGACGTATCTTGACGTGGTCAGTCGAGGCTGCGATTGCTCTTTCAGGCGTGGCTGGCAACGAAACTTAACGCGACCTTCCGACGGCAACCCAGGATCCACGAACTGGATGGTGCGCTTGGTCTTGATCGTGGCGACGGCCGCATTCACGTCCTTGGGCACAACGTCGCCGCCTCGGCAGCAGGAGCCCATCAAGAATCGACGTTAATCTTGAACGCCTTCCCCTAAACCCTGAACCCGAAACCCCAAGCCCTAGAGCCAGGGACAGGCATTTCAGGGAGGCCGCAAAGTTCGGGCGCATCGCGCCGCAGCCTACGACAGTGCTGTGTGGCGTTCTTCTGGGCTCCCGGGCGGTACATCATGCAGCAGGCCATGTACTTGCCGTGACGAGGATCGCACCTCGCATGAGGTACCACTATGTCACTATGATTTTTGCAACTATTAGACTCTTCGACGGCTCGGTATTCGGCCATTAGATGATTCTTGGCTCATTGTTGTTCTTGACTCCGACTCAGTTTATTGAGTTTATTGCTATTGCTACTTGATACTTGGATGCAACCTGTCCTGCAGCGGGGGTCAGCGGCAACGTAAAGCAGGAAGCACAGTAGATGCGGGTGATGCTGATTGGGTGCAAGTGCCCACAATGGAAGAACGTGGAAGAACAGCATGAACCTGTGAGATCGAGCTAACAGCCGTAGTGTGTACGGCCCATCCCTCTTGAGGCCGGCGCTTCACCATCATGGAAGCCGGCTCGAAGACGGACATCGTGATCTCAGCCACGGACAGCTGCTCATGGTAGGCCTTCTCGGCGGAGATGACCGGAGCGTAGGACGTGAGCATGAAGTGGATGCGCGGGTACGGCACCAGGTTGGTCTGGAACTCCGTGATGTCCACATTCAAGGCTCCATCGAAGCGAAGGCTGGCCGTGAGGGAGCTGATGATCTGGGCAATGAGACGGTTCAGGTTGGTGTAGGTCGGCCGCTCAATGTCCAGGTTCCTGCGGAACACCGAGCCAGGCTCTCAAAAGCAAAGACACCCGGACCCGCCCAACCCAAATCAATGACAAGGATGGACAAGGCTCCTGCGGCAAATGTCGTACAGCGCCTCGTTGTCGTACATGATCGTCACATCCGTGTGCTCCAACAGAGAGTGGACGCACAGCACCTGAGTTCGCCGTCAAAGTTGCTACTGGTAGCGCAATGCACAAAACACCAGGCCACTAGGCGGCTTGGTCACTAAGCCACAAACGCCGGAATCATGAATAAGGACCCAGGCGCGGTGTTGTAGGGCTCGACAACGGCCGTGGCAACCTGAGGGCAACACCAGACCGTGAAGGAGATCTTGCTCTTCTTCCCGTAGTCCACGGAAAGGCGCCTCGGTGGAACAACGACACCCTGAACCATAGAACCGTAGAGGAGAAGATTCGGCATCTTGCTGTGAAGGCAGGGCAAGGCGCTCGAGCATGAGGCAGCCCAAGCCAGAACCGGTTCCACCTCCACAAGCCTGTGCTGATTGTGGAAGAAGCTCCACAAAGCTTGTTAAAAATGCCACAACCCGAAGAACTTGCTGAAGCTCATTCAACCTGATCTCTTCCCACAAAAGCTTCGAAAACACTTCGTCAACGGCCCGGGAGCATTGTAGACGCAGAAGCCCTGCAAGCCGGTGCCTCAAGTGGACGGGGCACTGCGAATGCTCATGAACTGCCAGGAGCGTGCGCTTGTGCCCTGGCATTCTGGGTCTGCTGTCTCAGCTTTTCTTT